AAAAAAAAAAAAAAAAGGAAGAGAAATTCGGCCAAATTTTGCATAATACTTTCATTTTCTATTTCTATTTCTATTTCTACCTTTTTTTGGGTTGATTCGTTTTTGAAATGACTAAAAAAAACTCAAAGGATTGTTGGCGTATATTATTGAACAACTACAGCACAACTGGCAATAGCAATCTAGAAATGAGCCATAAACGTTCTGCCGGTCTCCAGCAGCGTTTCGCAGAACAACAAAACGGTTAATTCATTCATTTACCGATCCAAAAATGATCGAATGTAATGCTGCTAAAAAAAACTGTATCATTGGGTTGGCCGTCAACAACGTTGCTACCACCATCGTCACTGATGACAACAATCCTGCTAAACAAGCAAGTACCCGCTGTTTTGAGGATGATGTCCCGCAACGATGTGAAAGAAAGAAAAAAAAAAAGAATTATTAAATATACCAAAGAAGGATTATTGTCCACATCATTTTTTTGATTTTTATTGTTGTTCCATGTTTTCCAAACATATAAACCAATAAAACAGTTGTGGCGCATAAAGCTTATAAAAGAGACTGATACAAAATTATGGCCTTTTCAACAGGTGATATAATGTAACTACGGAGGACAGTATTAAAAATTACTAAGACTACACATCTATTACAATAATTCGTTATCTGTATATACATTTAGACTTGAGTATTTCCTTAAGCGGTAGAAGTTGTAAGAAAAACTTTACAGATATCCATCTACTTTCAACTTTAGTTGAAAGACATCAAAGATAGGGAATATTTGTTGTCTTTTACTGTTGCCGTATGTTTTTTTGTCATGCAACGAAAAAAAACTATTAAAATTTAGTGTCATAGTTTATTTAAGAAAGACGAGGAAAAAAACAAAAGGATTGTAGACGGTTCCAAAAGATTAGACGTACAAACTAATTTGTTCTTAGGCTCATTCTACAATCCATCGCCGCTCTCCAGCTCTTAGCTCATCTCTGTTTAGCTATTAGCCAAACTGTCACCTCTATTACACCATAAAGCCTTCTTGTTATGTTTTAAAAGTTCTATAAAGCCCTATTATCATGCAGTTCTGATTTTATATATTTGCCAGTATCCCGCCATATCTTCACTCAAATTTCTTCTACTCTTTCTTGTTCTTCTTTTGCAGGAATGGTTTCTGTAACACTACGGGTTTTTATTCTTCTAACCTTTCTGCAAAAAAAAGCCCCCCAACTCAAGCGTAATTTAAGTTGCAAACAAAGAAAAATGCGTCAGGAACAACAAAAATACACTGGAAAAGAAAAGGAACAGACAAAGAAACCACTGTACACAAAATAAAGGAGAAAAAAAGCATTGAAAAAAAATTCTGCAAATACACATACGACAAATACGCACCATACATCACACATTAAACACACTCACATACCGACATAACATACGCATTACACATGCATAAAGTACCCGTTGAAACTAACCTAGACTTGACCTACAGGAAGTTTTAAGAAATGAGTTAAAAAAGATCAGACATTATGTTGAGAGCGGGTACAAAAACTTCCAATTTCATGAGGCAGAGGTGTGAGATAATAGCTAAGAAACGTTAACAAAACAGCTACAATTTAAACGCGTAAAAATATATAAAGCATAATATTTTGGTGACCTAAAAAAAAAAAGACAACTAATACCTTCGAAAAGCTTTCAAATAAATTTTTTTATTACTCACCTTCTTTAAATCAGTTAAAAGATTCTTAATGTAATCCAAGATACAGGTGTAAAAAAAAAAAAAATTCAAAATGAATTAATACTGTTGCTCTTTAAAGCCATTAATCGCTTAGAAGCAAAACAGTTGAAGAAGAGCAGCAGCATTATTGCCAGCAGTCATTGATGATGACCAAAATAAATAACATAAGGTTAATAAAAATTTTAGTAAAAGAAATTAGCGTTATAAATCTGCGTACGCATAAACACAAATAAAAAAAGAAAGAAAACTACCTTATTAACTGAGCAATAAAAACAATGTAAAAAAAATTGCTATTTAATTGCTTTATTTTCTTCATGTTTCTTAAACAACAAAGAAACCATACTGATAATGCAATTTTTTTTTAGTGATTGAATATTTCGCAGATTTGCTGTTACATCTGTGTTATGATGCAGCAAAGAAAATCCGTAAAAAAAATGTTCGTTCCAATCACAGAAAAAAAACTGCGTTATTGAAGTACTTTTT